TTTTTGCGGTATGCGGGCCTCTCACTGCTGTGGCCTCTCCCGTTGCGGAGCACAGGCTCCGGACGCGCAGGCTCAGCGGCCATGGCTCACGGGCCCAGCCACTCCGCGGCATGTGGGATCTTCCCAGACCGGGGCACGAACCCGTGTCCCCTGCATCGGCAGGCGGACTCTCAACCACTGCGCCACCAGGGAAGCCCTGCTGCAGTTTTGAGGAGAAGTGGGTGGACGGGGAAAGAACAGAGACAGCAGTTAGAAGGCTGCTCTCTAGAAGGTTACATCATCTAGGAGAGAGTTGACTATGGCTAAGATCAGATTAGAGCAGTTCAGGTGAGTGAGATTTCTCAGATTCTGAATATATTTTGAAAATACAGCCAACATAACTTGTTAATGGACTGAATATGTGGAATGGAGAGAAGAAAATGAGTTGGATGTGACTCCAAACTGCAACACTCACAAGAATTGACCAGCAGCATTGGTCTTGGTTTCAGACTGACGGTCAAGTTCATTAGATACAATATTTCACTAATACTAATATTTCTCCAATATTTCACTAATATTTCACAATATTTCACTTATTTAGCTTTAAGAAAGGATGCAGGATAAGAATCAATGTAGAATTCATGACAATGGCATAGCAGAGATCTGACTCACAATTTCTGAAACCCCCAAACCACTTTGCATTCTGCATGCATTCTGCATGCACAGGTTCATAAGAGAAGAAGCTGAGTGGGACAGGTTGATGTCAGCTCAGGGAAACCATCATCTCTGTGGTCCCTTCTGCTTTTATATTTTGTGCTCATTTTCTGGTGCAACAGTCTCTCTTAAATATTGGTTAGTCATGACTTGACAAACAAGCTCAACAATGAGGCACAGGTGCTTGGTCCTGTATATAATAACCTTGGCCAGAATCTCACTCAGCTTGGATCTGTTATACTCCTGTAAATCTCATAAGTTACTCTAGTGGGGGAAGATTTGATCAAGGTTTGAATCATCAGTTGTCCCTGAGAAGAAAAGACAGCACTAATCAACCAATGGCAATTTCCTTCCAACAATGGTTTGGCCTCAGCACCCAGAAGGATGGTGTTGCCATCCTACAGGAACAGTGGCTTTGGAAAGCATAGGAGGAAGAATATTAGGAATTTAGTTTTGGACACATTAAATTTGAAATGCGTTTTATATGGTACATCCAAGTGGAGAAGATTAGTGGGAAATTTGATACGTGAATCTGAACTTCAGAAGAGAAGGCTGGGATAGACATATATATTTGAGGGTTAATAACAGATAAATGGTATTTAAAGCCC